GGTCCCAAGGAGCCATCCAGGGCTGCTAGTGAGTCCCACCTTTCTGAACATAAAGCTACCTGGCACCATCCCACCTCCCGCATTGCAGACACACACTCCTCTATGGACCCTGAGCAGGAAATCCCACCTGCCTGTGAAGATGTTCAAAAGTTTAGAATAGCTTCCAAACAAGGAGTAAGTAAATGCACTCCCCTGGCAGTGTTCAAGGCCAGGCTGGACTGGGCTTTGAGCAACCTGATCTACTGGAAGGTGTCCCTGCCCGTGGCAGGGGGGTGGAACTGGATGATTTTTGCGGCCATTTCCAACCCAAACCATTCTTCTATTACGTGAATCTGTGATCGAAAGCCTGGTTGGATCGTGGGTTGGTCAACTCCCCTCCACGGGCAAACTCTGCCGCCTCCTGGCCACAGCCAGGTACAGCACACCCTCCTGCGCTGGGCTGTTAGCGATAGGTAGACTCCCTGTCCAAAAGGCGGAGGTTACATCCACCCCTCTCCCCATCACTCTCTGAGAGTTTTTGATCCTACAAATCTTCCCCCAGCTTCACTATCTAAGGAAAATATGATATTTTTTCCCCTCTACCTTCATCTTCACTACAAACCTTGTGAAGGGAAGGTGAAAGCTCTGCCAGTGCTGTGGGATGGGTCTATGTGGTGGCATCCCTAAACCCCAGATAGTCCAGACGGTCCTATGGATGATCACTGGAAACGCAGCAAACTGAATTTTTAGCCTGAGAGATGAAGGCTAGTGGAGAGGGGGAGAGAAGAAATACCACCCTGCTGCTTCATCCCACCATAGCAGGGTCAGTTCTTGCTGATGTTCAGGCTTAATGAAGAAAAGGCACTGCACCTCCAGCAGCAGGTTGCCTAAGGCAGTGCAGGAGCCTGAGTGCAAACCATCCTCTGAAAACCTTTATCGAAAGCAGTATGTCCCATCAGGGCTCTAGGGCTGCAGGAGCCTGGCAGAAGTGGCAGCAAGCTTGCAGCAAGCTGCCTTCAGCAGGGAAGCTGCAGTTGCGCAAAGCAGCAGCTAAGCCAGTGTCTGGTCTGTTAGTCAGAGGGAGCAGAGGTCATTCACCAGGGAGCACCCAGAGCATATAAAGGATGAGAACCAGGAAAAGGACATGTATCTCCTGGGACAAAGGCGGCTCCGTGGGTATGTATGGCTTGACTTTGCTTTGCTTTGGCAAGAGCTGCGACGCAAAACGATGGAAGCTGCTCATGGTGTTGCTGGGGAAGGGGAAAGGGTGGAAATAGAAGTGAGATTTTCAACCTGGAAAGCTGCTTCAGAGCTAAACCAGAGCATGCTGGGTGCTGCTGACAGGCATCTCAACAGAAGTGGTCAGCAGAGGTAAAGGATGACAGCTTTTGCACTGTATTGTTCATTTGTGTCCATATACATAGAATCAACTAGGATGGCTGCTGGTTTATGACCTTGGTTATGGGCGAAATGTGCCTGCATCCACCTCAGGATCATTGCAACATTACTGGTGATGCTGTGAAGCTGTAGATTTGGGGGCACTCAGGGTGACGTGCTGGGCCAGGGCAACCTCTCAGGAGAGGAGCACACAGTGGATTCTTCTCCAGGCTGCTGCCTGCTCCATACCACAGCCTTCATCCATACAGGGTCATGGTACACTCAGACTTGGGGGGAGGAAGGGAAAGTCTGTGGTCAGCCCTGCCTGCAGACGGCACGGTGTGTGTAGCAGTGGATATCACTTGACTGCATTGAACATCACTCTGCTGCAATTAATCTAGTTCTCTGAAGGGGGGAGGCTCTTTTGGCACAGGAGGCTTGTGGGATCCTGTCCCTAAACCTTTCTGTGCTGCTGCTCCCACACAAGCTTCTCCCTGTGGTGCCTGAAGTCCTGCCTGCTAATGGGCATCCCTGTCCCTGCATGGGACCCCTGTGCTGTCCTGCCTGGCATCCCCATGGCCAGCCAATGATCCGTCCCCTTCCCTGCCCCTCCTGGCTCCTGCCTCTTCTTAAATCACCCTGTGCCAAGGCTTCCCACAAGGCTGATGTTTTGGCATGCTGTGGGGTGTTACATTGGCTACAGAGGTGATGGGAATTACCTGGGGCCTTGTGCATGAATCAGCAGTGACAGCCAACCGGGGCAGAGGTGGGAGGTGTCCAGCAACAACCGATGGGTGCCATGGCCCCCACTGCACCCAGGGGTGGTGGGGTTTCCTGTGCTTACCACAAAGGTCTCTGCCAACAGCCAGGTGACTTGCTCCAGAGAAGGCACAGCAGCATTTTTACTGCTCAACAGCCCTGTTCTGTAACAGCAGGAAAACACCCTTGTCTTTTACATCCCTGGCACAGGCCAGTGGTGGAGGCAATCCCTCAGGACCCTTCATGGCCACTCATCACCTAATGGGAACAGATACTGGTGTCTCAGATAGTCTCAGCCCAGCCATGCTTCTGCTGCCTTCAGAAAGCAGAAAAAAGTCATGAGCAAATCATGTTGAGAGTTTTTACAAGCTTTCTTCTGTCTTACAGCATAATCCAACACCTCTTTTCCTCCCTGCATACTGCTAGGGAACAAGGGTTGGCCCTATGGCAACAGGCTGTGGCTGACAGCAGAGATGTGTATGGGCTAGTCCGTAAATGATGGGGAGCTGCTGGCAGATCTACCAACCCCTTTGACACCTGTTGACAATAGTCAATACACATACAATCTATATCTCTATAGTGTCAGATGCGGGTATGAGCTCAGTGGCATCATCTGAGTGCTGGGCATAGTAATATATTTATTCCACCGTATTCCTGTAGAATTGCCTTTAATATTCAAGTTCTGTGTGGATGTGTAATGCTAAGACAGAAGATTTAGATTAGATCTTAGGAAGAAATTCTTCCCTGTGAGGGTGGTGAGACACTGGCACAGGGTGCCCAGAGGCGCTGTGGCTGCCCCTTCCCTGGCAGTGTTCAAGGCCAGGCCGGACGGGGCTCAGAGCAACCTGGTCTAGTGGAAGGTGTCCCTGCCCGTGGCAGGGGGGTTGGAACTGGGTGATCTTTAAGGTCCCTTCCAACCCAAACCATTCTACAATTCTATGATCTACTGTGAAAATAATCCTTTTCTCCATGAAGTGGTTTTAAAGACTTTACAGGGATTAATGCTGTCATACTTTGCTTCAAAATGTAAATGCTTCCCCTGTTTTTCTTTTTGCTCCTCCCACCATCCCGAAACTCAGGCGCTCCCTCGTCACACAAGGGCAGGGAGCTGCAGGGTGGGGAGGGGAGGGCTGCTTGGCAGGCACCCCCTGGACACTGTCACCCAAACAGGCAGCAGTGCTGCCTGCACAGGCAGCATAAATGTCAAAGCTGGGCAGGGGCAGGCAGGACGCAAACTGTCCGAAGGTTCCCTGTTGAACACCCATAATGCCCATCATGGAAATGCCCATGGGCTGTGCAGAGATATGGTGGTGGGCGAGAACCTCCCCAGGCAGCTGCCTTGAGACCCCTCCTGGGCAGAGGAGCAGCAGCCTGTGGTTATGGGGTCTAAAGCTCAGGCTGCTTTCCTTCTGATCATTTCTTTGTTGAGGATGTGCGGCTGTGTGCTAGAAGGAAGAGGGAGCCCTTGTAGCTGTAAAGCATGGGAGCTTTTGCATCTCATCCCCACGCTGCTTACCAGAGTGGTGCTGAGCATGGGCACAGGGCTGGGAGCATATCTGTATGGGGCTTCCTATGGGAGTATTCTCTATTATTCTTATTCTTATAGCTCCAAAGCTGAAGTGAGAATGTCAGAGGGTGGTGCTGTGATTTGCAGGGGGTGGTGGTAGGCAAAAGGCCATACGTGGAGATGAAGGTGGAGATGAGTTGTTATATGGATCAGGTGGGTTTATGGATGGTACTGCAGAGCAGGAGCCCTGCACTTTCTTGGAAAGGACAGGCAGGAGACAGGGGCCCAAGGAAGAGGACAAGGATGCTGCACTAGCACAGACAGGCAAGTGGAGAAGCAATAGGAACTGGTCACTGAGCTTAGGATGATGGAAATGGACAAGGAGAATCCAATGCCTTAAGCCTGCTAAGAAAGCAGGTGAAGAAGGGAGAGAAAGGCAAACAGGCTGAGGTGCTTGGGGACCAAAGCAAAGAGCTTAGGAAAGCTAGGACGGAGCTGCAGTAGTTTTGGGACACTGCAAGCATAAAAATAATAACACTACTTTAAGCAGATAATGATGAAAGATGAACTGGGGATGAGAAGGCAGGATCCAAGTGCTGAAGTACTGAGGTTCTGAAGCAGAAGGATCTCTGTCTTTCGAGAGGCATTTTACTTGCGTACACAGGGGAATGAGGTGCTGCTGCCTTTAGTGGGAAGCTGGTTTTGTGGAGTGCTTTGCTGAAAAGGACAGTGGCAGCTCCTGGAAGTGTGGACCTCTTGGGGACCTGTGCTGCCCTCTCCATCTTTGAATGCAGCAGCCTGAACCCACTTCAGAAACACCAGTAGCATCTTTCTCTGATGGCTTTTCTTTCCAGACCACAAACTGCCTGGAGGGATCAAACCTTGTGGTAGCAATGGCCTCTCAGCAAGTGATCACAGTCCAGCCCCAGTGTTCAATGGCCCCACGGGCAGGAGAGTGGCAGTCAGGGCTGACGGACTGCTGCTCTGACTGTAACATCTGTGAGTACATATGTACCCCTGGTTCCTGGTGTTTGCTCACAGTGTGTTTCTGGTGTTTTCCCTGCTCCTGCTGCAGCATCACCCCTGCTGCAAACCCCACTTTTGTGGGTACCACTAGCAAAGCAGCTCTCATCTGAGGTCAAGAGCCACAGTTCCCACAGCCACATCTCCAACGAGCTTTACCCCCTTTCCTCTTTCCTTGCACCCCTCAGCCAAGCCCATGTCTTGCTGTCCACAGGTCTTTGTGGAACCTTCTGCTTCCCCTGCCTGGGGTGCCAAGTGGCTGAGGACATGGATGAGTGCTGCCTGTGTGGCCCCAGCGTGGCCATGAGGACCCTCTACCGCACCAGATACAACATCCCGGTCAGTGACCTGGGCATGGCCCTTGGCAGCGACAGTCGCAAGCTGGGCACTGGGGTGTGGGCTCAGGGGAGGAGAAAGGGGAGCCCAAGGGGAAGAGCAGTGGTGTCGACTTGCATGGGCAGCCCCACAGGCAGGGAGCCAGGGACACATCTGCACCCCACTATGAGCTGGAGGTAATCCCATTGCACACTACCTCACCCCAGTCCTCGCTGGGCATAAGCAGGGTGCTGCAGGGCTGGGGTGAGCTTCCCAGGGGTGTTGGTGATGAGAAATAGGAACACTTAAAAGCTGATGTGGGAAGGGGTTATTCAATGTCCCTTGCTCTACAGGGCTCCATTCTGGGTGACTTTGCCTCCACCGTGTTCTGCCCCGCATGTGCTCTCTGCCAGCTGAAGAGAGACATCAACCAGAGGAAGGAGCTGGGCATATTCTGGTAAGCTGGGCGTGGTGGTGCTGGTTTATAAAGTCACTGCTGCACGAAATCAAACGGGTTCCTGCAGTCTCCCTTTCTAGCGACACCTGACTTAAGACACAGGGTTGCTGCGGTGTCAAAACAGCAGGGGTGATGCTGACCTGTCCCTCAGCAAAATGTTGCTGTGCACCTTTTGTGGATGGGGTTTCTGCTCAGGGCTCATGACCTGGATCCAGCCAGCAGGGCTGGGACACACACATCGTGTAGCAAGGCATGGCCCTGCTCCCTGACCCTCATCTCCCATCCCATCCCATTGCAGATGCCGCCATCCTTGCTACGCCCTGCAGAGCTGCTGTGGGCAGGAGTCTCCAGTGCCTTGGGCTGTTGGGAAATGCACCACAGAAGGGTTGCCTTGATTGTGGTTGATCCCCCCTTTGCTGGGCAACACCAGCAATAAACAGCAGTTTGTCTTCATGCCTGTGTGTTGTTATTTATTTCTCTGTGTCCTCCTGCAGCACCAGAATGGAGTGTTTTACTTTGGTATGCTGTGTGGTCAGAGCAATGCTGAGGTTATCAGATAAAGGAGACTTTCTCTTGCAGCCCTACACTGGGATAAGACCGCAAATTTCAGTGAGAAGTTAATATAAAACAAAAGCCTGCTGTGGACAGCTCAGCTGCTCTGTAGACACCGGAGCATGGTGACAGCACCACACTGTGTTTAGAGAGGCCTGAGAGCACTGAACCAACCCCTGTTTCTGCCTGGACCATCGAGGCAGCAGTGGGGGAGCTACAGTGATGGTGTGGGGATTGCAGGCCCATTCATTTTCCTCTCCACAAACCTTGTTAGGAGTCCATAGTGTTGGAGCAGGTTTCTCGGTGGGGTGAGACCCCCACAACGGTGGGTGTTAGGTGTAATACACTGTGGTTGGAAGAGTTGGGACAATCTGAACCTTGCTGAGGTTTGGGGGTGCAGGGGTTTATCCATTACCTGTCGTGGTGAGGAATGGTGAAGAGGTAACAGGCTGGGGTTGCTCTGCAGTTTTCCCTGCTGCAACTCCCATTGCACTTTCCCTAGTGGCTGCAGCACTGTCATGTCCCTGGCATGAAGAGGCTGTGCCCCTGCTCACAGTGTGTACACATGCATTTGCACATTTGAAACACCATGTGCACAGAGAAGCGGGAGAAAGCAGCAGTGGCATGGAGGCCGCCCTAGCAGGGAGCAGACAAGTGTGCGCGTCTGCTGTGGGGACAGGTGTTGCCATACTGGTCTGTGTGTGGCCCACAGGCCTGCTGGGTCACCTCTACTCAATCCTGGCTGCTGGTCCCAAATCCCCATCACTCACACTCCATCAGGCATGGTGTCTGCACCTCCCCCTGTGGCACAGGCAGGTTTGTGTGATTTGGCGTGGCAGGTTCAGTGACAGCCCTACTGCTCCGGAGCTCAATAGGTGAGCTGAGAACCCACAGCATCAAGGTCTTCAAAACCACCCAACCATGTGTGCTTGGGGTTACCCCTTTTCAGTGACAGATGAGCCCTGTGACCCCATCTCCCCTGCCACCATGATGGTTGTTATGGGGTCCCCTTACAGTCATTCCTGCCTGGGGCTGCTGGGCCCATCCCTTGGCCCATCCTGGCAGGGGCTGCTGGGACCTCATGCCTTTGCCCATCCCTATTCACGGTGTCTCCTCTCCAGGCTTGTTTTTCCCCCAACACATATGGGAGACCAGAGCTCTGACCCCTGCAGGGACCTGGATCCTCACAGGGCTCTTGTCATAGAACCATAGAATGGTTTGGATTGGAAAGGACCTCAAGATCATCTGGCTCCAATCCACCTGCCATGGGCAGGAACATCTCACACTAGACCATGTCGCCCAAGACTCTGTCCAGCCTGGCCTTGAACACTGCCAGGGATGGGGCATTCACTTCTTTGGACAACCTGTTCCAGTGCCTCACCACCCTCACTGTAAAGAGCTTCTTCCCTATATCTAGCCTGAACTTTATCTGTTTAAGCTTGAACCCATCACCCCTTGTCCTATCACTACAGTCCCTAATGAAGAGTCCCTCTCCTTCATCCCTGTAACCCCCTTCAGATACCAGAAGGCTGCTGTGAGGTCTCCACACAGCCTTCTCTTCTCTTTGTCCTTGCAGGCAATGCTGTGGCAGTGCAGTGAGGAGCAGGAACAGCCAGCCCTGAGCCTGGGTAGGGGGCACCAGTGCCCACCTCATCCAAGGAGTATAGAGGTGCAGAAACCGCAGGTGATTCCCAGTGAATGCCCAAAGCAGCTGCTGGCAAGAATGGGTCCTGGGGTCATGCTGCAGGAGAGGCGCTGTGCCATGGGGGCAGGAGGCTGGTGGTGCTGCACCCACAGCAGAGCCCAGTGGGGTCAAGCATGATGGGGCTGCCTGGCTGTTGCTCAGGAGAACTCTGCTGGGGGTGTTGGTGTTGGTTGTTGTTGCTCACCCAGTGGGGGGCACTCAGAGGGTTGGTGGGGGCTCTGTGGGGTAGCAGCAGGTCTGTGTCGCCACATGCGGTGCCTCCCCCTGGGCTGGCCAGTGCCACGCGCCGGAAGTAGCTGTACCCCAAGGCGTGTGTCTCCCTTGTCTGGGGGTGGTTTCTCAGCGCAGGGGCTGTGGGGTGAGCATGGCTGCTCCAGACAGCTGGGTGATGGCAGCCCAGGGCTTGTGACCCTATGGGAGGAGCCCCACACGGTGCCTCTGCCACAACCTGTGAGGACGACACGACCTTCAGCTGTGTGAAGGTTGTGGCAGCAGGTTTGTAGGACGCAGTAGTGCACCAAGACAGAGACTTTGTTTCTGTACATTTAGTACAGGTTATGACTAACAAAGCAAGTACATACGTACGATCACTTACCTATAGGCACACCTATATGTGTTTTTGAGGTGTTACCAGCATGATACTCGCCAAACCCACTGCCAGAAGCCAGAATGACAGAAAAGTCTCCTCACAGGCTCTCCATGCCAGGAGTGAGTCAGGCATCCCTGGCAAGGATCTGCCTCACCACGGA